ACAACACACAATTCTCTATGTAACACACAAAAATCTAACAGGAATTAATATTATGGCAAAGGTGTTTGCAAATGTTTGCTTTTGAGATGTGTTTGTGATATTTTGAATGCAGTGCTTCATTTTGCAAGAGATGTGAGGCATTTTGCATTTTGTGTGTGCAATTCTTGGATTTGTGTGTAAAGTTTTGAAATAAAGAGGCAAAGTTTTGAAAATGTGTGTAAGCATTTGAAAAAAACCTGTAAGAAAACTGTAATAACTAGATTGAAAAGTTTGAAAGACAAATTTATGCTGGCTTGTCTTAAAATCTTGTTTAAAAAACATAAATGGTTTGGTCAGATGTTCTAGATGTTTGTTAAAGTGTTGCATGTTGGTTGCTAGGCTCTTGCTATGCAGTTACTGGGGTATTTATAGAGTATATGGTTGATAGAGTTTGTTCTGGGTGATTACAGACATTCCCACCTGTTAATAACAGAAAATCAAACATTGTTTTCAAAACTGATCCAGTTTCAGTGCTTTGATATTATTGTATTTATTTCTAATGCTAGGAAATTCAAAAGTTTTTGTTGCTCTTAAACTTGCACTAAATGTGATTATACCATCTAAGTAGCCTATATGTAATTTTAATAGAACCGCATGTCTTGTTTAGTGATACAAGCTCAGAAACATTTATAACCTGTTGAAGTTATTTATGTTGTGTATTGACTTGGTGCCATGATGGATATTGAAATGTTGTTATTTATTTTTCATTTTAAACAGTATAGATGATTACTTAATGGTAATACAATATTTGTGAACACAACTGTGTATGTCAGACCATAAATCCCCAAAAACTATGCATGGGGGTGGGGCTTGCTTTGGTGTTGCCACCCCTCATAAACCCCATGCCACCCTAAAAATTATTTTCTAGATCCGCCCCTGCGCAGTCATCCAAATGATGAAAAAATATTACCGTAAACAATGTATTTTGCGACACCACGAAATAAACGATAGAGCATAATATGAAACGATAGACTTTTTATTTCGTCCATCCGATATATATCGTCATATCGCACAGCCCTATTGGCTATCTGAAAAAAGGACAAGCCTTTTGATATGCCATGCTGTAATTTCCTATTTCAAAAGGAAGTACACAAGAAAATAAAATTGTGCTTAGCAAACTACTTCATGAGGTCTTTAAAATATTCCTAACCAAAAAACTCCACACATCTTTCATGCTAAGAGGGCGATGAAAACCATGCACATATAGTTTTTCTTCTATTAAACTGCCTAGCCCCTGGTGTTAGTGAAAGAATGTGAATCAAAGTGGAGGAAAATTACACCAATGTTGTTTTACGGTATGATTGGTGGAAGCATGGTGATGGATGATTGCTTTCAGAGAGGAAAAATTTGTCTAGACGTGCTGTGCAAATTGCCACCAAATGATGCAACAGCCTTAACTGTGGCCACCGTGCTATCAATAACACAACACGGCCTGTCGAGGGTCTTCTGTTTGAGTCATGAAATAGAGGAAAGTAGAGAAAGGGAAGAAAAGGCACGCTCTCATTAATTACAGTAACAGGATGCTTCCTCCTCCTCCAGGCAGCGGAGAGAGGTGACAGAGAAAGTGACACGTCACTATGTCAAGTCAACTTTATTTTTTATTTTATACTATGTCTCCACTGCCAACCCCAAATGTCAGCCCAGTGTTATTTATCTGCTCCGTCCTTGCCGTTTTTTGAGAAAGAGAGAGTGAGAGAGAGCATTCTGGGGCCTGTTGCACAGGCCACTTCATCTGATTCGAGTGGCCACAGGCTTCATCCGAGTATTCCAGCTCTGAATTACATTTTAAGTTGAGTCATCCAAGCCTTCAGATGATTACTGATATATATTCATAATGGCATGGTTATTAGCAGCATTAAAGATGACTGTTTGTGTAGCTATGACTAGCTGTTTGTCTTGATTGAAAGACATATTTAAGTGGTCTTAGAACATTTAGAGCAAAGAACATTCTCAATTTGGATCCAAAATTGGATTCCTCATTAATCTGGAGCACCTGACAGCATGTATGACTATAATAAGATTGGTGAGAGACAATTACCTTCTTCAGGATGGAGGTGAGTCTCTCCAGCTCACAGTCGATGATGATCTGGCCCTCCTTCTTTTTGTCCAGGTCCTGGAACACTTCGAGGAAGGACGCTTCTGTCATTGTCTCCACATTCACAGAGGTCACCAGCCAGTTATGCTCTGCTGCTGTGTCCAGAACCTTCTGCAGAACTGACAGTCCTAGAATACCAATGACCAAAATTAGGTTAGCAGATCTCCAAACAGTTGAGGTAATCAGTTACATCAAAATGATTCATTTTTGACATTTAGTAGAAATTAAGATTTTCATTTTGTACTAGACAAGCAAGTTAAGCCTAGTTCACAATACACGACTTAAAACGTCGGCAGATTGCTGTGCTGTTCAGACTACATGACTTGCTGTCTGTCTTGAAGTCGTTGTGGTGTTCACACTACGTGACACTACATAAATGATCTGCAACAGGGGGTCACACACTACACAAGCTGACAACAACTCACCCAATGACTCTATCCGCTCCCCAAACCACGTTTTCTCATGAAAACACATCCAAGAAGTGGAACGGGAATGTTGCGAAACAAGTGAAATGGGAGTTGTTTATTTGAAAATGGACATCGGGAAGAAATTAGTGCTGCAAGCTGTTTGCGAGATGATCTGTTCTGAAAAATTTTGCTCCATTTCTTGTCTCCAAACTTTTCTTAAAGCCATGCTGCTGCTGCAGTTGTTCTTCCACTGACCTCAACCCATGCCTTGCTCTCTCATTGGCTGTAGCTTATTGCGACACCTGACACCACGTGATGTCGAGTCGGCCGACTAGTCCAGATATTTAGCATGCTAGATATTCGTCTGGTGTCGGCGACACATCAGCGAGCCTCTTTGATGCGTTGTTGAGTAGTTCACACATAAGGCTTGCCGAGCGCTGATAACCCGCTGATTTTTCCCCGATCACACCCCGACCTGTCGGCGAGCTCACTGACTTGAAAATCGGGCTTAAAATCCTGTAGTGTGAACTAGGCATTAACTGCACTTAATTTGAATTATTAAGTAAGTTAACATATATATTTGGAGGAAGTACTGGTTAATGTGACACTTTGTGTGAAATGTAATGTGTAAATAATGACGTGCTGGTAAGTTAATTCATCTTAACTTAGCAGCTAAGTTAACTTATAGCAGCTGGAGGACTATAGTATCAACAATCTGTTATCTCCAGGCAGCTCTGACCATCTGAACGCCACTTTATTGGCTGTGAATTCAGAAAAAACAGGAAGATACAGGGCAGTGGAGAGTGAGAGCCACAGTGTTCACAGACAGGAAATGGGGTTCGATTAGTGAAGACATTGATCCTGGCATTGGTTTCACAGACGGTGGATGCATGTGCGCAACACCAAGGGACCAATCAGCTTTCTCCCTCGACACCAACAACAATCCCTCTAAATCAAAAACTATGCGCTTAGTAGCCATTAAAGTCAACAATATTTCAACACCACATATCACAAAGACACAATCTGTTTCCAAACCTGAAGTGCTGAATCACTGTCGGCTATGTACAGCACCTTCATAAGTGTTCCTAATGTTGCTAAGCTAATGGCATAATACTCTGATACTGTCGCGGTTTTGGTTTGTTAGTTCTGGTTTAGAGTTTGTTTTTATTCTGTTTCTCTGTTCTGTTCAGGTTTGAGGTTCTTTGTTAATCACCTTGACTCTTAATTAGTTCAGTTCTCCTCCGTTCTCTCCTTGTTTGTTTCTATGGTTACTGATTTTATTAGGTTCCTCAGTTCAGGTGTGTTTAGTTAGCTTCTCCATTTGTTTGTCCTGTCTATTTAAGCCCTGTGTTTCTTTTAGTTCATTGTCAGTCCTACGTCTTGTTAAGTTGGTTTTGTTGTTCCTGTTCTGGAGTTTTATGTTAGTTTCTGAATAAAGATTGCTGGATACGGATCCTGTTTCCTCTCTTCTGCAACCAGTGGTGACAGATACAGGGATTTTCAAACTTTTTAATGCCAAGAACCCCTAAATACTATTTTCCTCTGGAGAGGGCCCCCTTCCAAAACGTAAATGCAACTATATATTTTAATGTACGCTACAGTTAAAAGGTTTGGGGTTGATGAAATGTTTTGAAAGAAAAATCTGATGAATAGCAAGTTTAAAATAACAGCATTTATTTGAATAGAAATATTTTGTAACAAAGTAAAAGCCTTTACTGTCAATTTAATGCATCCTTGCTGAATAATATTATGCATTTCTTTAAAAAAAAGTAAAAAATATTATGCATGATATTGTAATAAAATAATACTACTAACCTTTTGAAGCTGACTTCACATCAAGAACACACTTATGATGCCCTAGAATGCTGCTTATGGAGGCAGCTCACTAGAGTTTGGAACAGAGTGACAGTTTCTGCACATAACACCAGCCTCATCTCTCACATAAGAATCGATTTTGTCTCAAGGATCATATGATCCCATGACGTGATGACAGTTGAAAGGACAAGCGTACATGATTGCTCTTATTATGCTGCCACTGAGAGCATTTTGCTTCTTGTGTTCTCAGTACTTCAGCACCATGGCCAGCTCCTCCAAACTCATCAAAACCTCTCCAACACTCAACTGCAAGCTCTCACAGCCATCTATGCATTTTGCTGCATGAGTACTTCACAGAACAAGGCCAGTAATTTTTTTTTAAATCCTGCTCCAAAACTGCCTATGAAAGTCTATGGCCTCTAGTAAATTCTGCCAACCTCTACAAAGAGACATAAATACAGTAACTCCCCTGTGAGCATTTATATGGGAAATTGTTTATGAAATGTTTAATGGACTTACTCGGGTTTGATTTAGGTTTTGAACAGCACCCAAAGTAAAAAAGCGTGCACTCAAATTTTACAGTCTTTGTTAAATGCAACACCACACAGCTGTTGCATGAGCTGTAATTAAAAGGACAGCAACAATAAGGATGCACACTTTACAATTTATGGAACCACTGGATCCCACAGCAGAGATAACAGGAATAAATATTTCATTTATGGGGTGGGATGGACCACAAAATAAATCACAGGAAGCAGCAACTGTGCCAGAACTGTGTCTTTCTGTGCACGACAGGGACTACACACTTAGATAAAGCATTATTTCATGAAAATTCACTCACATCTTATTCACCTTCACATCATTCCAAATCTGTATGACTTTATTTTAACCACTGTACACAAAAAAGATACATTTTAGAGAATTGAACATAATTTATATGTGTCAAATGTGTAAAAAGAGTAAAATAAAATAAAATTAAATAAAAAATCCGTTATCATCCAGTTTGTGAATGAATTGTTATTTTGAGTCAGATCTTTTCAATGAATCAATTGATCCAGTTCACAAAACTGGCTCAAATGATTGATTCACGAATCTAACTGTTAAGTTTTTGAGTTCATGGTCTCAGTGATTTGGTAGCAGCGAATAACCACCACCAGAGGGAAAGATAATCAGTGAATAATGATTTAAATTTCAGTCTGTCACTCGCACAAAGCTATCATGTGACTTCAGAGGATTTGTAATATAGTGCATAAATCATATGAACTATTCACGTTTTTCCTGAATGCAGAAGTCTTGTCTGACTCATACCGGAAAACTGTTTTACATTTCCTTGTCAAATTTGCATATTTTCCTAGCTGATAATGTAACATTAAACCTAAGAAAATGGTTTAAAAAAATAACATATGGCTCCATAGTTTCACCCATTGTGTACAGTGTTACAATGACAGTATTTTTGCAGTGCCTTGCCTGTTTGTTTAATGATTGTGTAGATAACATGAAATGGCCCTAGGTTAACTACACTGACAACAGGTCATAGAGCTTCGGACCGTGGCAAGGTTCAGAAGGCTTTTTGTAGAATGTATTGCACACTGCGCTGGACTCAGACATTCTTTTCAGGTTTGGTGGTGCTCAAAAGAGCAATTTCTAGGAATTCCCTTAATTCATTGCTGTTGTTGTGGCAACCAACAACAGAACAGCTTGACCATGAGTTCATTTTTATTCTTACCAGTGTAGGGTATCAGACCGAATCAGACAATTTAAGATTCCGTCAAAGAACATGGTTGAAACACGAGGAGCCGAATTCCACAGAAAGGCCCAAGACACAGGATGTTCGTAAATCAGATCCTGGCGCCACAAGCCTGAACCAACTAGCAGCTTTGAGTAGCTCACAGCATTTAAACAAAAGAACACTTCCTGACAATTCCAAGGAGATTGTCAATTTTGGGGGAAAGTAATCAAGATTAAATGGTCAAAGAGATGCACAGCATGACCATCACATGTGAACCAGTGATAGTAATCACTGTCACGAGCTCTTCGGATTTACTTTTCCACCCACCTCGACGACAAAGAACAGACTGAGATTCCTTACAGACCTTTTAACCTCTGGTCTTCACAGAACATGTCCTCATCCACAGAATGGCACAGAAACTGCCTTTCCATGCACCTAAATGACACTAAAAGGACTTGTGAGCAACTAATCATTTCTATGCATAACTCCATATCATGTATGTAACCCACACATTAGACTATCACTTTTTAATCATTTATTGTGTATGTGTTTTGAATAACTATTGAATAGTTTATAGGATTATATTCATGTTGGGTATGTATGTGTTTGAATCTTCTTGCTTGAAACGTTTCTTCCAATCAATTCTTTGTCAAATGTATCATATTCTTGTTATAGAAATCATGTCCAAAATTATACTCTGCAAGAGC